TGTGGCAAAGCCCTTGTTGGAAGGTAATTCTCAAAGGGCCAGTTCCTGGCTGCCGGGCAGGGGGAGTGAGCGTGCCTTGGAGGATCTGCCTCTCTCTCGGCTTCCCAGGAGCCTTGGGGAAGTACAGGTGTTCATGGAGGAGAGGAATTGAGTTGCAGATGGAGGCAAACTGGTTTTTCCACAGCTGGGAGAGGACTCCACCTCGTCTGTGTCTGGTTCATTGCCCAGCATTGGGGATGGGGCAGTGTCCCCCAGGTTTCTCAGGGACCTCCTGCCCCCCAAGGCAAGCCATGGAACGGAGAATACCTCTTCCCCGAGCTGGTCACAGAAGCCAGGATCCCTTCTCCCTAAAGCCAGCCGGGTGCCCCCTGCCCAGCTGGCCACACAGGGGTCCCGCCCCTTCCTGGGGAGGAAGGCAGGCTGCACGGAGGGGCCTTGCTGGGTGTGCCCGGTCTGTGTGATCACATTTAGTCCTGATTCTGCGTGGTTGTCCTGGCGCCCTCAGCCCTAGTGTCACCCAGGGGGGGTGCCCCCACCCCAACACTGGCCTGACTGGCCAGGCCAGCGGGCCCAGGATGGCTGCCTGAACAACCATGGGAGCCTTCGGAGTTGCTGGTAACCCAGCGTCCGTGCTGACACGCCCACTGGGTACTGAGATGGCCGCTCAGAGGGCGGTCTTCCAGGGAGAGCGAATCCAGACCTGGGACAGAGAGCAGCTCATGTGGGAATTGGACGAGGACAGAGCAGGCGGGCATCCCAGCGCCCCAGGAAGGAGCTGGCCGCCCCGCCGCCCCACCTCCCTACCTCCCTCTGCTGGGAATTTCTGGATGGGGTGTTCTTGAAAAATCCTCCCAGGACCTCATCAGTGTGGTGTTAAGGGACCTAACAGCTCTCTGGTGCCAGCAGGGGGAGCCCCTGAGCTGCCCCAGGGAGCGGGCTGGGACCAGACTGAGTGGGTGTCAGTCTGTGTGCACATGGACGTGTTCTCTCTACAAATTCTCACTTTCCTCGGCCCGTCTACACACATAGGCTGATATCTGCCTGTGAGGTTTGAGGATTTTAGCGGGGACAGAATGGGAGGGGTAAAGAGAAAGTGGGGGTTGGGCCGAGACAGAGAGCAGGGGTCTGAAACAGGCCTGGGGTGGGGGGCGGTGCGGAGCAGGGGACGGGCGCTCTGCTCCTGGCCGCTGAACTTGAGCTGTCGGTGCTCAGTGTCAGGACCCCAGCGGAGGACTTGATTTGGGGGTCCCTCACAAAGGGGGTGACCTCAGCATAAAATGGCCCCTGGCCTCGGGTCTTCGGGTCCTGTTGCCTCGCTCTGAGTGCATCTCCGTGTTGCGGGAGCGGCTGCTGCCGCTTGGGGAGCTGTTCGTGGCTCCCCTCTCCCTCCAGGGACGGACACTTCTGCCGGTTTCTTTCCCATAGAGGAAGATGCCAAATATGGGGGGCTGCTGAAGACGGTTCACGATTGGATTCTGGCAATTTATTAATTTATTTGAAAGGCAGAGTTACAGAGCAAGAGAGAGGGAGAGACAGAGAGAGAGATTTTCCATGCCCTGATCACTCCCTAAAAGGCTGCAATGGCCAGAGCTGGGCCGATCTGAAGCCAGGAGCCAGGAGCTCCTTCCAGGTCTCCCATGTGGGAACACTTGGACCATCCTCTGCTGCTTTCCCAGGGCACAGGCAGAGAGCTGGATTGGAAGGGGAGCGGCCGGGACAGGAACTGGCACCCACATGGGATGCCGGTGCCGCAGGCAGTTCTAACCAACCACGCCACAGCACCGGTTCCTAAATGACCCACTTTTAAGTTTGTAATTAAATAAGGATTTTTGTTGCTGTCAACAAACGTGTGATGCTTGTGGTGCGTGCTGTGGCGCAGCTAGCTAAGGCGCTAGTTGGATGCCCCCATCCTCTCTCGGCGTCTGTTCACTCCATTTCCAATCCAGCTTCCTGCAGATGCCAGGAAGGTAGCCGGCGACGGCCCAAGTGCTTGGCCCCTGCCACTCACTTAGGAGACCCGGATGGAGTTCCTGGCTCCTGGCCCAGCCACAGGCTGTTGCGGGCATTTGGAGAACAGACCAGTGGGGGGCAGATCTTTCTCTGTCTTTCAAGTAGATGAAAATAAACGAACCCTTAAAACCGTCCTGCGTTTTTCTTGTTTGGTCGTGGGGTGCAAAACAGCTCAGAGAAGACGGGTTCACAGCAGATAGCTCAAGGCCGAGCTTCAGACAGCGCACAGAACCATTTTGCAGTAACCAGCTGGGGGAAAATCTCCCTCGCAATCCAAAATACCGACTTGCCAGTCACTCGCGGAACAGCACGCTTTTTCTACCTCCTGGACTTTGGGACAAAAGCAACAAATGGGCATTTACTGTGAAGGGGGAAGGGAGACAGCAGGGCGTGGGGTTAGGAGTTCAAATCCTGCCCGGCACACAATAGCTGCGGGATCCTTGGGGGGGGGGGGGCTCCACGCTGCGCGGCGGCTGTGAGCCTAGGTGCGCAGACCCAGTCACCTAGCAACAGGCTCCTTTTGTGGTCTCCTTTAGTTATGCAAACGAGGCCGGGTAGCACCCACCGCCCTGGGGAGGAGGCCGCCCCTTCCCCGGCCTCTCGGAATGCCCGCGGAGCCGGCTGCAAAGGCAGCTCTGGGGCTTTGGTGAGGAAAAGGCCGAGGCTCCAGCCTCCTACCACCTACTCCTCCCGGTCAGGCCGGGGCCTGATGGAAACCTGCTCCCACAAAGGCCCGGAAGATCGCCCAGCTGTGAGCTTGTGGGGCTCCCCCGGCGGACGGGCAACCACACGGCCCGGACACCCCTAGATGCTGCTGCTCCTGGGGGAAGGATGCGGAGTGGGGGCCACACCTGCCTCTGAACCCAGGGCTCCACGGCGGCCCCCAAGACTGTGCAGGCCCAGTGTCCAACAGCGCCACTCTCTGGAGAACGCGGGAACAGCAGGAGGTGACAGCTTTTCCAGAGAATACGGGGTGAATTAAGGAAGTCCCTGAAATTCTTGGTCCATTTAGGAGGGAGGGGACCCCGAAAAGGTGAGTTGGACTTCCTGCAAGTTAGGGCACGCGAGAGAGTTGAGCAATCAACGAGAAGAACCTAAAGGTAACCCGTTCTGTGCGCCCGGTACACGTTGAAATGCTTACCCCACACCAGGCATATCCCTGGGTGTCACTGTCGCCGGTGCTGGCGCTCTGGCGTGGTGGTGCGTGCTCTCTGGCCTGCTCTCGCCCGACATCTCCTTCAAGCTTCACCAGCACCCCTCTCCCCCAGGCCAACCACAGAACCTACAAGGTCACTCTCCCTGGAGGGCCCGACCCTCATTCCACAGGGGTCTTGCCCAGTGCCCAAGGGAAGGAATGTGACAGACCCAGAGGAATGCGGCCTGACAGGCCTGGCTGGTTCCCCCTCACTGTGTGCCTTTAAGACAAATAAATCATTTGATTATTAGATCATAAAAACAGACGGCTCCCCCGTGCCTCTGGGTCCTGTGCAGGCTCTGGGGTCGCCGAACACTTCTGATTGAAGAAACCTGCTCTGCTTTTCCTTTCTGAATCTCGCTTCGGTTCCCGGCGTATCGGTCATGAGCTTCACTAAGAAGCAAAACTACTGATGTCCACGCGTCTGCTTCCCCAAAACAATGAGAAATGCACCTTGCAAAGGCCAGCGCTGTCTTCCGAGATGGCCAGGCCCCGGGGAGGCTGGGGACAGGAAGCCAGGCCTGGAGCTGTGGCGGCACCTGGGACAGATCAGCTGGCCAGAACTGCTGGCCCCGTAGTTCTTCCAGTCTCTCGTGTGGAGCCCCTCTTCCTAAGGGGACAGGGGTGGGGAGGCCCTGGGGACCGGGGTGTCCAGCATAGCCACCAGGCCCGGGACTGGCTGCCGCCCGTGCCCCAGGCGCAGGTCCGGCGGGGAGGATGTGTCCTGCCACCCAGTCCAGGTTCCTCCCTGCTCCGGAAGCTGTGACCCAGACCCCGCCCACTTCCAACACTGTCCTGCAGGTCTGGGTGTTCTGTGCCTCCTAGCACAGGCAAATGCTCAGCCTCCATTAAGACGCGGGGGCACTGCAGGCCAGACTGGTGCCTGTGCCCCCTTCTGCCCGGTGTGCTGTGGCTCTGGCCTCCTGCAGGGGTTCCCCCGCCCCGCCCCAGAGCTCAGAAATGGGAAAGCAAACAAAGCTCCCAGCCCTAAGGGCAGAGGCTGAGGAAGGCAGACCCCCGCCATGGCCAGTGCAGAGTGTCAGGAGCCACGGGCAGAGGGGGGCTGTCACCAGTCGGCGCACCTGTCCCCCGACACCCAGAGTCTGGGCTCCGCTTGCAGGATGCAGTGGACACGCCCTCCTCAACCCAGAGGCCAGCCCTGTCCTGCCCCGCAGCCCAGCTCCAGCCGCTGGGAGAAGCTGTTCCCACTGCCACCGGCCGCTCTGGGCCCGCGCCCATCCCGTCCTTTCTTGCTGCTCTGGGAAAACAGGTCTCAACCCAGACTCTGCTTTCCTTAGCACAAGGCAGGGCCGCTCCACGGACCCCTCGCAAGGGCCCACCGCGGGGCCTTCTGAGAATGTTCAGTAGCTTTTTAGAACTAGGGCTCTGTCACTTACACAGGCAGTTGACAGAGAGAAGGGCGGGGGACGGACGGCTGGCCTGTCCCCTTTTCAGTCCTCAAGAACCTGCTGCCTGCTCATTAGTCTGCCCGAGACTTCCTCCAGCGAGCTAAATTGACACTCAGGCCAAGGGCCCTGCAAATGCCAGGCCCACCAGCTCTCAGACACCGGAAGGGACACGGGGAGCCCAGGAGCCACTAAAACAAGGGCCTTGCTCTCCGCCCACACCGGGGCCAGCGCTGCAGCTGCCCACGGGACACCTGGAGCCGCAGGGTGAGCACCCCGGCCCCACCCTAGCCCCAGGGCTCCCCTCCTTCCTGGGCACCCACTAGCTGAGGCCAACAAAGAACCAGCCTTGTCCTTGACTGTGGCAGCAGGAAGTTTCACACCGGGCAGAAACCAGTCCCGTTTTATTGAGAAAATAGAGATGAGCCCTCCCTCTTCGCCAGGTGACTCCAATGTGAGGTAGGGGCCGCGCCCTCTGCACCCACCCCAGGGCCTGGGCCTCCCTGCACAGGAGCAAGGGCGATGCTGGTCTGCGGGGCGCCCTGGGGAGGCAGAGGTGCGGCCGGGGCTGGGAAGGGCGTGGGGGTGCAGGGAAGGGGGTCCCCCGCCTCCGGAGGCCTGGAGCCTTCTCCCTCCACATTCTTCATAAATAAAACTTCACAGTAACAGAAAAATGTCCACATCCAGGGAGGGGCCTCGGCTGGGGCTGGCGCCGGGCAGCACCAGGGCTCTGGGGCCAGGAGCCTGCTCGGCAGCCCCGTGTCGGGGTGTGGTGGGGCTGCAGCCCGCACCCAGGCTGGGCTCTGAGGGGCGCTGAGGTAGTCGGAGCGCGCACGGGTGGGCGCGGGCAGGGGGGGCTGTGCGGGGAGCCTGCTGGGCCTCCCTGTCCCAGGAGCCCCGGGCCGTGGGCTGCGGGGGTGGGGTGGAGGCGGGAGGCCCTGTGAGCCTGCACAGGGTTGTTTCTCCTGCAGGGGCCCTGGGGGGAGACCGAGGCATTTCACAGAGACTCTGCCCTGTGGTGGCCACCGACCTACCAGGGCCAGGCCAAGCCGGCGCACCTGAACACGAGCTTTCTTCCGAGGCCGCCAGGGCCTCTCACGGGGGCGGAGGGGGCTGGGCCACAGGCCCAGGAGAGGAGCGTCCTGGCCCCTCTGACGCCCTCCAGTCTGAGCAGCCCCCGCCGTGCCTGGGTTTCCTGGAAATGACGACCACGGGGAGCCACCTCGCCGGTTACCTGCTCCCCCACCACATCCCCTTCCAGCACTTCCGGGGATGCTGGGGACCCAAGAGCCCGCGCCCTGGCCCGTCCTGGAGGCCTGGGGGTGGGGGGGTCAGAGCACCTGGAGCTTGCGGGAGCAGGTGAGGTTGCCGTGCACCAGCCCCCACATGGCCAGCAGCTCGGCGGGCAGGAGCTTGTGCACGACCAGCATGGAACGGAAGAAACAGGGCTCCTTGTTCATGCGGCTGTTGCGGTTCCGAGAGATGCCGAAAGTCTTGAAGCCCTCGTGCGCCGTGGGCTGCACGCCCAGCACTTCCAGGCACATGCCCAGGAAGACGTCGTCAATCGGGTACAGGTCCAGGGTGTCGCAGGCGCGGTGCAGGCGCCGGGCCAGGCCGCCGGCCATGAGGAAGCCGCCTCCGCCGGCGTAGGGCGGGTAGCTGGCCTTGCTGTAGAGCGCCGGCGGGATGTAGTACTTGTTGTCTTTCCTACGGATGGGCCGGGCGTGCTGCAGGACGTCCCCCACGAACAGGTCCTCCTGCGGCCGCCGGTCGGCCAGGAACTCCAGCAGGTTGGTGGGGTTGACGAAGACGTCGTCGTCCCCCTTGAAGACGAAGGGGACGCTGGGGCAGTAGATGTCCAGCCACTTGAGGAAGTGGATCTCCTTGAGCGTCAGGTTGAAGAAGCTATCGAGAAAGTCCCACTGCAGGATGTCGCCGTACAGGCGGTCCTCGTAGGCCAGCAGCTGCTGGTAGTGGGTGCGCTCCTCCTGCTTGGAAGCCGTGCCCAGCAGGAAGAGCGTGCGCACGGCGCCCCTGCCCCTGCCCGCGGACGCGCGCTCCAGGCCCCAGGTCTGGCGGATGGCCTCGCGGCGGTCGTGCTGGGTGATGACGGACTTGACGACCACGAGCAGGTACACATCGCCCCTGCACTTCTCGGGGTGGTTCAGCAGGATGGGGAAGTAGCGGCAGTGGGAGTAGGTCAGAAACTGCTGGAAGTGCGGCTCCAGGCCCTGGAACCAGGACTGGTGGGTCAGGTTGGTATTGGCTGAGCAGTTGTTGGTGGTCACATCCCAGGCCTGGGGCCCCCGGAGGGCCACGGGCGTGGGGGCGACCACATCCTTCGGGCTCTTCCAAAAGCTGTTGGGGTTCACCAGGTTTCCGCTGGGTTTCTGGGCCCTCGGCAGCCCCAGGGTGGGCAGCGGGGGCTCCTGCAGGAACTGGCCCGGCGTGAGACTGCGCTGGAACACCGTCACGGCCACGAGGAGGGCCAGAGCCAGGCACACACTCTTGTACAGGGTTCTCTTCCTAAGGGGATGGGGGACAGGTGCAGAGCAGAGAAGAACGGGTGAGCCCCAAGCCTCTCCCAGCAGTGGACCCAGCGGACAAGCCGGCCCTGGCACAGACTCAAGTCCCGGAGCCCCGGCGTAGCCAGAGGAGGGTCTTGCTGCCTCGTCCCACGCTGACCTCCCAACACTGAGCAGCCAGGCCCTTCCGCGCGTGGGCATGCCCTCAGGGGCGGCTCTGGTGGGCTTCCATCTCCCTGTGCAACCCAGGAGCCGTGGGCAGTGGCATCGCGGAGTTGTTCTGCACCAGGATCCCTGGGAGGAGCAGCCTGGGAGGCCGGCACCCATCCTCTCCGGATGGCAACCCCCACCTCCCTGAGACGGTCCCAAAGAGAAACCCTCGGCGGGTGTGTGTGTGTGTGTGTGTGTGTGTGATACACCTGGAAATGCACCAGGTCATCCAGCACCCCCACCTTAACACACCCACGCCCTTAACTGCCACCAGGGGAGATGAGGCCCCCAGCCCTGCTCCTCGGGGAGGGGACACAGAACCCCAGCTCTCCAGGGACCCTCAGTAACGCCCACGCCCCTACCCCCATTTCAGAACAGCTCTTTGCCTGAGGGAATGGGGCCAGAGCCCTCGAACCCAGGACCCTCCCTCCTCCGCTCACACTCTGGGTGGCCTGGACGCTGTCCCCGCCGTGGACACCTGGGGGCTGAAGCAAGGCAGGCTATCCAGGGGCAGGGGAGACGGGGATGGGGGATGCTGGCCGTGAGGCTGGGCACACGGCTGGCACACCTAGGAAACGTGGTTCGAGCAGAAGAGGGAAGCAGGGAGACCGGTTCCCGATGGGAGGGTGCAGCCAGTAACTTATTTAATGAATGGTGCCAGCCGGCTCACTGTTGTGGGCTGTTTCTCCCGTTCGGTTTCTGGAAACCGGCGAATCACTCCTAGGTGGACTCTTACAGAGCGGCCGTAGCACGCTATCAGAACGCTCGCTTCCATTTCTCAAAGATAAAGATCACTGCTTTAAAAAAAAAAATCCAAGGTTTCGGCTGGAGAAAGACGGGGGTCACCTGAGGCTCAGCGCTGGAGCGCGTGACCCGAACGCGACCCTCCCGGGGACGCACGAGTGTTCCGGATCCCGTCCTACGGTCCCGGGGGTCCCGCAGAAGCCCCCGCGCGCAGCTGGCGGCGCCGGGACGGCGCGCCCCACCTGCACGGCCCAGACCTTGTGCAAGAGAAAAGCCCGGCTGGGAGGGGAGGAGCGGGGCCGAGGCCAGAGCTCCGGGGAGCGCGCACGCGGAGCGGAGCGGCCAGGAACCCCGAGCTCCGCCGGGCATGGGGACGGGACTCAGCCCCCGGTGAGACCTCCAGTGCCAGCCGCCGGGGCCAAGCAGCGGCCGCCGGGGCCCCCGAGCTGCGGAGATGGGCGCGCAACCCCGCGGTCCCCGCCGCCCACCCTCCGGTCCAGGCGCCGCGCCCGGCCGGGCATCTCCCATCCCGAGTCGCGGGCGTCCCGGCGCGTCCGGGGTCGCCGCCCGTTCTCGGTCCCCCACTCACCACAGAGACATGGCGGCCCGGCCGGGCGGCGGAGCGGGACGCGCGGGTCGCAGCTCTGTGCGCCGCGGCTGGGTCGGTGCAGCCGGGCTGGCGAGCGGGCGGGGGCGGAGGCCGGGCCGCGCCCCCGCCGAGACTTTCCTCTTCCCGGCGGCGGGAGGAGGGGCCGCAGGGGCGGCGGCGGCCCAGGTGCATTAACCCCTTCAGCGCCCCCGGCCCTCGCCACTGCCCGCGGGCGGGGCGGCTCCGAGTTTCCCAGGGGCCCCGGGCGCGCGGGAGGGTCCCCTCTGCCCCTGGGTTGCGCGGGGCCTCCTGGGGTCGCCGGCCCCTTCTGGGTGCGCGCACGCGCGGGACCCGGACGCCCGCCCGCCGGTCTCCAAGTCCCCAGCGGCGCCCCGGGCTGGGTGCGTCCCCTCTGGCCCCTTGACCCCTTCCTAGGCCCGCGGATTAGTTACCCTGGCCCGGGCCCGCGACCCTCCTGGAGGGACCAGAGGAAGCCGGGCTCAGCGCCCCAGCCCAGGCCGCGGCTGGGGAAGCCCTCACCTCCCCAGAAAGGCCCCTTTCGGTTCGTCCACCAACATATTTCTTAAAACTTTTTTTTTTTTTCCTCCAGCCAGGCTTTGCTCTTCTTGAGGTGGGGGCGCGCTGCGTGCAGACACAGAATATGCAGGTCTGGGTGCGGGGCGTCCCAGACAGGGGACTTCGAGAATCTTCCAGCTGCAGAAGGCCCTGTTGCGGGTGGCCGCTGCGGTCTGGTTGCACGTCCGGGCCCCAGTGCTGAGCGCCCAGAGGCACCTAGAAGGGCCGCGGGCTCGCGTGGACGCGGTGTGTGTGCGCAGTGTGTGTCTGCAGGTCTGCACAGCTGGGCTCGCAGTCACTGAGCGCCACAATATGGTGCCTGGTGACTCAGTCCTGGAAGCATGTGTTGTTTCTGTCTCACACGGGAGGAAGTGGAGGTGCAAAGCCTGTGGTCCCACCTCGAGCAAAGCCTGGGGCCTGCCCGGCCTTGGAGGGGGGCCCTGGGCCCAGCCCCAGCCCGTTGCCCAGGGATGGCAGTGAAGGGTGTCGCTTTCCTGCCCAGGGCCACACAGGGAGCCCCCAAGTCCCTGGGCCTGGGCTGGAGAACCCCTTCAAACCCTTTCCTTAAGGCTCAAGGACCCCCTCCCCCCACCTTGGAAGGAGAGGTGAAATTTTCCAGAGTGTCAGCCCCAACCCCGGGAATGTGAAGGGCCTTCCAGGCGAATTCCAAGGGAACCCTGGGGCCAGCACCCTTTGTGATGGCCCTCCAGAAGCGCCCCGCAGGGCGAGGCCTGGCCTGCAGCCCAAACCCCACCTCCCCTGCTTGGCCACCCACAGCCCGACTGGTCTCCATCCCAGCAGGTTACCAAGCCCTGCACGCTGTCACCCAGGCTTCTGGGGTCTCCGAAGGGGCAGGGCTGGCTCCCCTGGCTTCACACAGGGGGCCCTGCTGAGCGCAGCCCCCCTGGCCGTGGCACTGACCTCTCAGCCCGGTGCTGTGGGGTCTCCGCGGGTGCCTGCTGCGGGGCCGACACGGCCGTCTCTGGGAAGAGGTTTTTTGAGAGTCTAGAGGTGCGGGTTAGGTTGGGGCCCTGCACTTCCGGGCCGCACTGGGGACAGATGGCAGATGCTAAGACCTCTGTTTCCTGCCGGCTCGGTGCTGTGAGATGCTGTACGTGAGGACCGGTCTCTCCCAGGCAGGAAGCCGTGTGACAGCAGGCGGCTGTTGACAGTGTGTTAACATCTGGCCCACCCTACCCCACAAGGCCTGGAGCAGGTGGACAAGGAGGGGCGCTGCCCCAAGTCAGCTGAGGGTTTGCGGGTAGGGTCTCATCAACTGGGAAGAACTGCCATCACGGATCATTTGATCTGTGTCTACGGGGGCTCAATGACAGCTAAATACCGGAGGTCCCTAGGGACAGGAGCTCTGGGTAGTTTCCAGTCACCCCAGCAGGCTCCCCTGGGGCCACTTGGCTCCTCCCTACCAGGAAGCACTTGCTACCTCAACTCCTCCCCCCACCGGCCCCCACTCCCCTAATCTGGCCTGCTCACCTGTCCCACACCTGAGGGCACAGCTCTGCAGATTCCTGGGGGCGTCTCCAGACACAGCTGGGGCCTGAGCCAGGGCCCCGGGGAGGGACACAGGTCAGTCTGCAGGTGGCATCTTGGCCCTGGGGTTGGGGGCAGTGCAGGCAGCTGGTGTCCCCTGCTGTGCCTCTCTTCCAAGGTCATTCCTTGTGTACCCTGGAAGGGGGGCTCAGTGGGGACCCCAGTGGAAGGCCCCCTTCCCTCCCCTCCTCCCTCTTGCCACTTCCCACCTCCTCTGCACTGTCTTGGAATCTGGACCCTAGGGAGACAGCAGGTGTCGGGTGAGACATCTGACCAGCTGGAGGTCACCCTGTGCCGGAGCCTGGTTGACCAAGTGGAGGTGGACTTGTGCCAGAGGGAGCCCCAAAACAGTGAATGAGAAGCCATGGGCACCTTCGAGAGAACACCGCCCCTGGTGCCGGGAGCGCGGCTGTGCCCACAGGCTGGGGAGCCCCGCAGCTGAAAACATGTCAGTGCAGCACTGTGGTCTGAGAGCCAGTGAATCCACTTACAAATGTATTTCTTTAAAAAGCAGAGTTGCAGAAAGAAAGCGCACACACAGATCTACTGTTCACTCCCCAAACGGCCGTAATGGCCAGCTCAGGGCCTGGCTGGAGCTAGGAACCTGGAGCTTCTCCTCGGTCTCCCGTGTGGGTGGCAGGGGTCCAAGCACGCCTCTGCTGCTTTCCCAGGTGCGCTAGTAGAGAGCTGGATTGGAAGTGGGGCAGCCGGGACTCCAGCAGCCATATTGCTGGCATCGGCAGGCAGCAGCTTAAACTGCTACACCACAAGACCAGCCCCAGTGAGTCCACTTTAATCAGGGTGTGCAAGACTCCAGGGGCAGCCACAGCCAGCCCTTGAATGTGGCTGTCTACACTGCAGCAGAGGGTCTGTGGATCAGCTCCAGAGAGAGAATTCTCTGTTAATCTTTAGTGGAAAGTGTAGCTGAAGTCGTGTGTCTGGCAGGAAACCCTGGAGGAGCCCAGCAACCCCGTGGTCTAGAACTTTCTCTCCTTGGTCCTGGGTCCCCCACATGATGGTCTGACTTTAGGGTGAGCCAGTTGGGGTGGTCTCCATGTCCTTGAATTCACCTTGAGCGGCTCCTGATCTGAAAGGCAGTTGGCTGATTCTGTGCTTTGTGCTGGAGATGTCTTAGGTGGGGAAGGATCGGCCTGGGACCTGATTCTGCTGCACCTGATGATGAGAAATGGCGGCGGGACCCCAGCCCCCTCCTGTCCTTAGGGATGGTCGGTGTTCACTGCAGAGAACCTGATCCGCCGTGCAGGCCTGTGGTGGAGGGACCTGCAGGGACACCCCGGCACTGCACAGGCCAGTGCTGGGGGGCACCCCCGGGCAAGCTTGCCCCCCGACTGGTGCCCCCAGGACTCTCTGTCCAGTGGAAAATGAACAGAAAGGACACATTTCCTTGGAGTCCTCTTTAAGACTTGGGAGGGGGAGGAGGCCAGGAAGTGGGAGGAGGTGGGGAGGGGATATCTGGGGGGCAGAGCACGGGGTGGGAGGTGGTTCTGGGGCATCCCTCACCCAAGGAAAGACTGGGCCAACAGGAAGCCCAGATCACAAGGGGTTGAGCTGCAAGGGGAGGAAGTTGGAGAGCTGCGACACACAGGCCGGGAGCCCCCCTGCCCCAGAGCCCAGAAGGAGGCGGGGCCACGGCAGGGGAGGGGTTGTAAAGCACTGGGGGGGGGGCGGGGGGCGGCCTTGGTGCAGCAGTTAAGTTGCCCTGGGACGCCTGCATCCCCCGTCAGAGTGCCTCGCTGACTTCTGTGCACCCTGGAGGTAGCAGGTGATAGGAGACTCGGATGGTGCTCTGGCCCAATTGCTGTTGCAGGGTTTCCGGGAGTGAACCAGCAGGTGGTTTTTTCTCTGTCTCTTTCTGTCTTTATTCTTTCCAAATAACTTAAAAATTTAAAAAGCCGCCAGGGTCTGCCCCCCAGGAGACACCTGCTCCCAGAGTTCCCTGGGCGATTCTGACGCCTGGGCCCTTGGAAACCAGCGGCTTCCAGCCTCTGCTCTAGTGCCTGGTCAGCTTTCAGCAAACACCCAGATGAAGGGCAGAATGAGGAAGCAGCGTGGCGGAAACTGAGGCCGGAGAGGAGAGATGGGGAAGTGGAACTTCCAGACGAAGCAGAGGTGGGCTCGCTGGAGTCCTGCTCAGGGCAGGGTGGCCCAGCAGCCAAGTCAAAGCAGGTCAAGCCACAGGAATCTGTTAGCTCCCAGGACAGAAGCCTTCCCCGTGTCCAGTCCACCTGAGCCTGGCTGTCCTCCAGCCTGCAGCCGCCTCCCAGGGCTGGGAGTGTGCCGCCCCATCCGTGCTTGGGGTGGGGACCTGAGATTAGCAGCCCTGGGGGAACAGCCTGGGGGGTCCCTCCAAGGAAGCCCATTCTGAGGGTCTCTCAGGGGCCACAGTGACGCCAGGTCCCCAGAAGCAGGAAGGGGCAGCGCTCCGGGGAGATGTCTCTGGTTTTCCCGACAGGGCCAGTGGAGGGTGGACTCTGCTCCTTCCGGAGCCGGGTAGCAATCTGGCTCCTTTCCTGCTCCCGGCACCTGCCAGCTGGTCTGGGGACGGCCGAGGCCACCCATAGCTTTGTGGGCGTGGGAACCTGTCAAGAAGGGAGGAGCGGAGGCCAGAGTTCAAAGACGCTGGGCACAGGGGCTGGCTGGCTGGCCAGGAGAGCCCAGCTGAGAGCGGAGGGGAGGGAAGGGCCTGGGCTCCCCTCGGGCTGCCCTGCTCGCCGGCAGCCGGTGCGGGCTCAGTGGGCACCAAGATGCCACCCAGACGCACACACACTCCTCATGCTCATGTGACCCAGACACACACATGCTGTGTGTACATATGCCCAGACACACACACGTAACACTACTCACACACACATACTGTACACACCCACATGCACAGTCCACACACGCGCCCCCAGACACACACATACTGTGCATGCATATACCCACACACGTAACACTCCACTCACACACACATGCTGTATATACAGACACACACACACTCCACATGCTCATACAATCCAGACACACACATGCCCAGACACACACGTAACCCTCCACATAACACACACACATACTGTACAACTCACCCACATACTGTGCATACATTCACCCAGACACACACATGTAACCCTCCACACACACACACACATACTGTACACACTCACCCGAATGCGTGCACACTATATACACCCAGATACAGAATACTGTACATACTCAGCATACATACACCCATGTAACAGCCCACCCACACCCAGACACACTGCACATGACCACACACCCACACATACATGTATACAACACCCCACCCACTCACACACACCCACACACACGCTGAACATAGTCACCCAGATACACACGTATGCAACACTCCACACACACACACACCCAGACACACATGCACTCTCCACACATGTAACACTCCATCCTCGGACACCCACACACATACTTTACACACACACTCCACACACTGACACCCACACCCGCTCTACGCACACCCACAGCCACACACTCATACCCCCCACAGAAGCACACAGGCATCCATGCAACTCTGATGCAGAAACACAACACCCAGGAACACACACACACACACACGTGCACATGTAGTGTGGCACACACAGCACCTGTGCACACATGACCCAGATGCACACACACACTCAGACATGTAACACTCATGTACCCCAGGGGTACAAGAGCACTAGCAAGAGACAGACACACCCATGCAGACCCTGGGAGAGGCAGCTGCACACACACACACACACACACACACCCCGCTACCGGGGACCCCCCTCAACCTGCTCATCCACTCCAGGGAAGCCCTGCCTGGAACATCCTTGGGAGCAGGCATGGCCTCAGGAGTAGGCAGCCGCTTGGGGTCATCCCAGGTCCCCTTTCTGTGCCCACCCTACCGCTGGGGTGCTCTGGGCACCGCCCACAGGCCCTCAACTCTGCCTGCCTCTGCGATTTGCCAAGACCCGGCTTCCTCGTGCTCAGGCGCCCCCCCCCCCCCCCCAGTCCTCTTCTGAACCCGCTTCTGCCTGCACAGGTCCACCTGCCTGCCCCCTGCCCTGCCCCACACG